GGGGCCAGGTGAAGCGTGGAGCACACTGACCAGCTCTGGAGCCCGAGTGGGACACAAGGCACAGGAAGGGCCCACCTGCTCCCGGCCGGCACTGGGGCGTCGTCCTCTGCTGCCTTGGGACATCTTCGCGCCTGGCGCCCAGGCCCCCACCACCTGCTGCTCTGGGTCACCTGCTGCTCTGGGTCACCTGCTGCTCAGGGTCACCTGCTGCTCTGGGTCACCTGCTGCTCTGGGTCACCTGCTGCTCTGGGTCACCTGCTGCTCTGGGTCTCCTGCTGCTCTGGGTCACCTGCTGCTCTGGGTCACCTGCTGCTCTGGGTCACCTGCTGCTCTGGGTCACCTGCTGCTCTGGGTCACCTGCTGCTCTGGGTCACCTGCTGCTCTGGGTCACCTGCTGCTCTGGGTCACCTGCTGCTCTGGGTCACCTGCTGCTCTGGGTCACCTGCTGCTCTGGGTCACCTGCTGCTCTGGGTCACCTGCTGCTCTGGGTCACCTGCTGCTCTGGGTCACCTGCTGCTCTGGGTCACCTGCTGCTCTGGGTCACCTGCTGCTCTGGGTCACCTGCTGCTCTGGGTCACCTGCTGCTCTGGGTCACCTGCTGCTCTGGGTCACCTGCTGCTCTGGGTCACCTGCTGCTCTGGGTCACCTGCTGCTCTGGGTCACCTGCTGCTCTGGGTCACCTGCTGCTCTGGGTCACCTGCTGCTCTGGGTCACCTGCTGCTCTGGGTCACCTGCTGCTCTGGGTCACCTGCTGCTCTGGGTCACCTGCTGCTCTGGGTCACCTGCTGCTCTGGGTCACCTGCTGCTCTGGGTCACCTGCTGCTCTGGGTCACCTGCTGCTCTGGGTCACCTGCTGCTCTGGGTCACCTGCTGCTCTGGGTCACCTGCTGCTCTGGGTCACCTGCTGCTCTGGGTCACCTGCTGCTCTGGGTCACCTGCTGCTCTGGGTCTCCTGCTGCTCTGGGTCTCCTGCTGCTCTGGGTCACCTGCTGCTCTGGGTCACCTGCTGCTCTGGGTCACCTGCTGCTCTGGGTCTCCTGCTGCTCTGGGTCTCCTGCTGCTCTGGGTCACCTGCTGCTCTGGGTCACCTGCTGCTCAGGGTCACCTGCTGCTCTGGGTCACCTCCTGCTCTGGGTCACCTGCTGCTCTGGGTCACCTGCTGCTCTGGGTCTCCTGCTGCTCTGGGTCACCTCCTGCTTTGGGTCACCTGCTGCTCAGGGTCACCTCCTGCTGTGGGTCACCTGCTGCTCTGAGTCTCCTGCTGCTCTGGGTCACCTGCTGCTCTAGGTCTCCTGCTCACAGCCCACAGGTCCTGGAACTTCTGGGCCTCCCCAGTCCCATGAGCCAGTTCCCTAGAATAATAAGATCGATATGTAATTGGTTGTCTTTCTTTGGAGAACCCTGACTAATATGGCATACGGTGGAATTATTACCCAGCCTTAAACAGAAGGAAACTCTGACCCCTGCCTCGTAGGTGGACCTGGAGGACATGCACCATGAAATAAGCCAGACTCAGGACAAATCCTGCACGATTCCACTCACAGGAGGTCCCTGGAGGACTCAGATCCATAGCGACAGAGTAGATGGTGGTGCAGGGGCCGGGCGGGGGCAGGGGTGAGTGTTTAACGGGGACAGTTTCACTTCGGAAGATGGAAAGTTCTGGAGATGAAGGTGACTGCTGCACAACAACCTGAATGTGCTTAATATCTTTGAGCTGTGTATGCAGAACTGGCTAGGATGGTAAACTTTATGTGCAATTTCTATCACAAATAATAATAATAAAGAATTTGGCCCTGGCTGGTGTGGCTCAGTTGGCTGGGCATTGTCCTGTGCACCAAAAGGTTGCTGGTTCGATTCCCCGTCAGGGCACATGCCAGGGTCGTGGGCTTGAGGCCCAGTAGGCGGCACGCGGGAGGCAGCCAATGGATGTTTCTCTCTCACATCGATGTTTCTCTCCCTCTCCCTTCCTCTCACTCTAAAAAGAAAAAAAAAGATTGTGATGTGTAGTTGATATTCAATGTTCCTTCCCTTCTCCGAGTAATGTTTTATGCAAATTTCACCACTGTAATCAATAAATAGATGAAAAGTAAACCTTCGCGCGCAGCAAGATCTAGACTAGTGTCCGAGCAAACATCTGGGTGCCGGAGCCTAGCTACGGTGATGGTGATGTGAAGCCACCCCCACTCTCTCCTCAGGCCCTCAGGCCTCCCCACCCATCAGGCTGCCATTCTCTCTGCCGTCCGCTCCACATACTGTGGTTTGGACTCACTGGTGTTTCACTTCCGATTCCTGTAGTTCGGGATGCTCAAGGGAGTCAGGTGGGAATGTCCTCTCACCATCAGAAGGGAGAGGACCCAGAGCAGGATTCTCCCCCAGCTCTGGCCGCCTGATGACCTGGTGCCTGCTGGAGCCATCGGGTCCCTGTCAGCACAAATTTTGCGGCCTCAGCAGCTGGCCTGGGCCGCAGTGGGAAGCTGGAGGCTGAAGCCAGCGAGGGAAGGGTGGGGGTTGGGAAGACAGGGCATGGCTCACCTCAGGTTCATCAGGCAGGCACAAACTGGGGCAGGTGTGTGTGTGTGTGTGTAGTGTGGGTGACCACACACAGGGTGGGGAGGCTGTCTGTGAGTATCTATGGGGTCAGGAACTGGAGGAGACCCATTAGCAGGTCTTGTGCTCAGTGCCAGGGGGAGCAGGAGACCTGGGCTGAGGCATTGGGAGCCCGGGTGGGGTGGGTGCCCGTGTCTGAGGGCTGAGCTCATGTATGCAGGTGTGTGCGCAGCTGTGGCATCTTGTAAGTAAACAGCCTGGCACCCAGCTCCCTCGGGAGCCAGCTTTGCTATTCTGCCTGGAAGGGAGGTCAGGTTTCCCTGAGAAACCCCAGAATAGCCCCCGACTGCCCAGAGGAAACCTGGCCTGGCCTCCTGGTGGCCAGTCCGGCCCTCTGGTCCTGTTTGTCCTGCCCTCTTACCCCCAGCCACGTGAAGCTATCTCCTCTTGGAACAGTGGACCCCCAGCCCCTGCTGCACTCACCGGGGTGGGAGAAGCGTTGTCCCCTCACCTGTCTTTAGAGCATCTGCAAGGTGCTGGCACCGGCCAGGCACTGGGCCCATACAGACGTGAAAGGCACACCTGACCAGGGTGAACACCCAACAAGAACCCTCACAAATAAGTGATGACAGCCGCTGTGAGGGTCCCACTGCAGATGCGAGGAGGGTGACATGGTGAAGAGGGAACAGTCCCTCTCCTGCCTTCAGCCTGAGGTGTCTATTCTTGCTGAGGCCCTGGGATGGTTGAGGCTGGGGGGGGGGCCTTGGCTGGGACCCAGGGCCTGAGGGGGCTCCAGGGTGAGGGGATCCCCAGGCCAAGCAGAGCCAGGAAGGGGCTGTGTGGGGAAGGGCCAAGCCTGTCCCGAAATAGGGCCAGCAGGATCTCCTGGCCATAAAAGGCTCTCATAATCTGGACCCCAGGGACCCCAGACAGCCAGGCCCAGCTAAAATGCGGCTGCCACCTCTGCCCCTTGCGCTCTGCCCACAGCAGCTCTAGTGACCCCGTGCAGTGTCCTCTCAGCCCGCCGCAGACATGGTAAGGCTGCACCCGGCAGAGCCCTCGCAGGCTGCTGGGTGGTGGAGCGGGGCTGGGAACAGTGCCTGGGACAGAGAGGACGGGCAGGCAGGGCCTCCGGGCACAGGGATGACTGGGGCCTGAAGCCGTGAGGGTCTCTCTGGAACCCGAGGAAGAAGTACAGCGAGGCTTGACAGAAGGCAGAGTGGGGGGCCAGGGCCCAGCAGCCCTTCCTGAAAGCTGCCATGTGGTGGCAGGCACACATGGCCAGGTGCTGGGCCAGCCCCCTGGGACTCCAGAGCAGGCTGTCCCTGAAGCCCTGTCTATGTGCAGACCTGGAAGCCCCTTGCTCTGGAGCTTTCACCCTGGCCTGGGTCAGGCTCCTCCCCATGTTGGTCCAGGGTGTCCTTTCACTGTCTCACCTGTGTCCACTGCTGTGGGCCCCCTGCCCTGCAGCCCCTACTGCTCCACGTGGCTGACCCATGCCCTGGCTCCTGTGTGCCTGGCGCCCCATGCCTGGCCCCGCCTCGAGTGCCCTTCCCCTGCCCGGCGGAGTCATGCTCACCCCTCAAGACCTACCCCTTGTTCCCCCTTGTCTGAGAGCTGGCTCTGGGCTGGGGGCCTCCTTTTTAAACCACACCCTCTGAAGGGTGTCTTGTGCCACGAGTTCTGAGGCCTTGAACCTCTCCTGGACCAGGGACAGAGGGCCCCTGTGAAGCTGGCCAACATGTCCTCGTGTCCCCACCACAGACGGAGCGCCTGACAGCCGAGCAGGTCAAGGAGTACAAGGGGGTCTTTGAGATGTTTGACGAGGAAGGCAACGGGGAGGTGAAGACGGGCGAGCTGGAGCGGCTCATGAGCCTGCTGGGCATCAACCCCACCAAGGGCGAGCTGGCTTCCATGGCCAAGGATGTGGACCGAGACAGTGAGGCCGTGTGGGGGCTGGGGGTGGGCTGTGGGAGTGGGGGGCTGCGCCCTGCCCTGGCGCCTGAACCCCATCCTGCGCCTGGCTCCCCTCAGACAAAGGCTTCTTCAACTGCGGCAGCTTCCTGGCCCTGATGGGGATTTACTGGGAGAAGGCCCAGAACCAGGAGGGCGAGCTCAGGGCTGGTTTCCAAGTCTTTGACAAGGAGGGCAAGGGCTACATCGACTGGGACACGCTCAAGTAGGGCAGGGCTGGCGGGGTGGGCGAGGGCCGGTGCCCTGGGGGCTGCCACTCAGTGCGGGGGTGGGGGTCCGGCAGGTACGTGCTCATGAATGCCGGTGAGCCCCTCAATGAGGTGGAGGCCGAGCAGATGATGAAGGAGGCCGACAAGGACGGAGATGGGACCATCGACTACGAGGGTGAGCAGAGGACAGGCCAGGGGGGCCCACAGCCAGGCCAGGCCAGGCCACTGACCTGTCCCTCTGCTCCCAGAGTTCGTGGCCATGATGACCGGAGAGTCCTTCAAGCTAGTCCAGTAGGAGCAGCTGCTTCGGCTGTGGGAGGCCTGCCCAGCCAAGGAGCCGCTGCCACCACTGCCCACCACCGCTGCCCACCAACCCC